GGTCCTGGAGGGTCTTCAATGGTTTTTAGCAGAAGCATCACAAGAGGGAAAAGATGACATTCCAAGGACAGTGTCATGACTGGAGCAGAGGAGTGGGAGCAGAAAAGAGCCAGAGACTGAAGGGGGCCGGCCCAGCCGGAGGGGAGGGAGGGACTGACCTGTGACATCAGGACAGACAGTCTTCAAAGCAACATGTAGATTCCAAAGGGCAACCTAAGTGGAAAAGCGGAGATGGCTGTATGTTGCCCCAGGACCATTTTGCTCAGCACTCCCAGCCGGCATTTCCAGAACCCCTTGCCCTGGAGGCTCGCCCCCTAGGCTTGTGTCCGCCTCGCCCCGCCCCGGGGCCGCCCCACAGCTGCACCCCTGCAGGTATGTTTTCTGCAGGTGCATTTGCTCACATGTCGTAAAACAGAGGTTGGCTTTGTTGTAACTTTCCCTCTTTTGTGTCTGTCCCCATTGTCTGCTCTCCTAATTGGCGTTCACAGTAACTCCCAGCTTAGCATCATCTGCAGCTTTCATTAACATGCTGATTCAGCTTTGTCATTAATAAAAACGTTTAATTATTATCTAACGTTCATTGTGCACCAACGACTAAGTTAGGACTTGTGCAGAATAGAGAAGGAGATTCCACTCGGACTGCGGTCTTCTTCTCTTGTCCCCAAAAACCTCTCAAGTAGCTGCGTGTGGATCACAGGCAACCGGTTACAGGATGCTGGGTCCCTGGCAGAGCCAGCAAACTAAACCCCCAGGGCTTCGTTCTCCTAAGAGGGACATGACGTAGCCTGATCGGTTATTTCTCATCTATCACTCTTGTCATCGACTGAGGGTTTATATCCCGCCAACGTCCCCGCCAAGGATGGATATCCCCTGGACTTCAACCACATCAATGACTTACTCGCTCCTTCCGGCAACAGACATTAACTGAGCACCAGCTATGCTTAACCACCGCGCGGTCTGCCTGAAAACCCCTCACCCGCGCACTGGTTCTCACCCTGGCCTCCTCTGCCTGAGAGCCAGCCCCTCGCCCACAGCCCGCACGAAGCACTGCTAGCCGTCCAGCACCCAGGCTGGAGGGCCGGCTGGGTCCCTGAAGCGCCCAGGCCCTGCCTTCCCTCCACGTCCAGCGCTCACTCTGCCCCTCGGCGACCCCAGCGGGACGCGCGTGTCCTCTCCCGGGGACTGTGCTTTGTACACCCTGTGAATCCCTCTGGGCCCGCAACCCGGAGCACAGTGCTGAGGAGGCTCGGCTTCCGAGTGTTCTTGTCCTCACGGGCTTCTGCGGATCCCGGGACCAGTAAGGAACTGGGGACGCCAAGTCAGGTCAGCCTCATCTCAGCCTCGTCTGGGCGTCCACGCCGCGCCTCCCAGAGCCCCGTCTCCTCGCTGTGTTGTGGAGATGACAGTCCTTGCAGACGTGAGAGCATTCAGATCAACCCGCATACGGTAGTGAGCAAACTGGCCGATGTCACCCGCTCCTGACAGTATCTTTTTACACCTGGAGTGAGACTCTTGCTTCTAGACTGTACACCTCCAGTTCAAAGTGAATGGCTGATATTTTTTAACCGAATGACCCAAGAAATTCACTACCTTCCTCTACACACACACACACACACACACGGCAACACTTTAAGTCCCTCATTCGACAAGTGTCTAGTACGTGTCTATCGCGTGGCAGACAGCAGGAGGAGCCGGTGATGCAAACACGCAAAACCCATATTTACAATGTATTATAATTTCCAAAATCCCTGGAGAAAACTGACAGTCAAGTCCACTGTTGTGAAGCTTTTGAAATTTATTCCTTTTTAGATTCGGGGCCTTTCATAACGGTTGTGGTAAACAGTCTGAGAAGCGAGAACAGACTGTGCTCTCCTAGCTCGTTCTCGTGTGCGGAAAACCACGTTAAAGGCGTGGACATTCTGAGTGGGTTTTCTAAGACAATGAGAGCAAGACACAGAGTGAATGGAACTATGTATTGCAAAAGATAACTCCCTAGGGGAACGAGTGAGTGCCTTGGTTTTCCCACGTGTAGAAGTTTCACTCCGCTTCTCTCCCTGTGAGCCAGCGTCCGGCAGGGTCACCGCCAGCGCCCCGGCGGCGTGAGCTGTGATGCTGGCGGGGGGGTGTCAGACCCTGCGTGTCCCGCGGGTCCCGGAATGAGCACAGCGGCGGGGCTGTGGGGGAGGGGCCCTTCCGTGCGGAGTGGGAGGAGGGGAGTGACATTCTCGGTGGGACCATCGTCCACGTCAACGCCGGGATTCAGTAACGACTTGACATGTTGTCAGGCACCTTGCAATCTCCTTGCACTTCCTCATTTATCTTTAGAAAAATCCTTGGGGGGAAACAGAGAACCAACCAGCGGTTACCGGTGGGGGGCGGGTAGGGCCATCCCGGGGTTGGGGGAGTGGCGGATACAAGCCACCGGGTGTAAGACGGGCTCAGGATGTGCTGGACAACCCGGGGATGAGGCCAATGCTTTGTAATAATTGTAAGTGGAAAGTAACCTTTAAAACCTGTATAAAAATTAAAATAAATAAATATTGAAAAAAGCAAGTTAAAAAAGGCCCTGTGGGGCATTTTAACCCACATTTTCAAATGAGGAAAGGGGCACTCTGGGTAAGTCACATGCCTAAGAAATCACCCCCCTGGGACTTGTGTCCAGGGCGCCCTGACCGCAGGGGCCACAATCCTGGCCCCGAATCAGCGTTGGCCCATCCCTAAAAGGCACTCCTCGAGTGATGCTAGAAGGGAAGAGGGGGTTGTGAAAACCCAGTCAGGAGCAGGGGTGGCTGTTTTTAGATGGCTGGTCACTCACCGGCTTAGACAGAGCCCGGCTAATGCGGGCATCTGACGCTGTCTCAGGGTCTGGTCGCGTCAACAGCCACCTTCTCCCCGGGTAACGCCTGCACACGTGAGATCAACCCTCAGAACATCCTTCCGCCCACACACATGCACCAGTCAGCCCTGACACCCGCCTGCACCCCGCGATCTGGGTTCCCCAAGAGTCTTTGGTGTCAGTCAGTGCCGACACAGAGAGGAGTATTTTTGTGGGGAGAGTGAATACACGTGCCCGTGCAAACACCCAGGCAGACTTAGTTGGCTTAAAAGCA